CGAGAGAGAGAGAGGTGTGTGTGTGTGTGTGTGTGTGTGTGTGTGTGTGTGTAAATATCTCCTGCTCCCAAAAATCCTGGCCTGCTAATCAATCAGCCCCTCCACACGGCTCCTTCCCTTCCAATATCCCCCCTCCCCTCCCTTTGTGCATTTCATTGCTTTATTTGCAGCCGCTTGGAGATGCAATTTCCTTCCCAGATGCAGAACACAGTCCCCCCCACCCCATCTCCGCCCCCGCATCCCCGACAGCCATTGCCCTGACGGCTTGCAATAAAGCTACCCCCCTTCACCCCACCCCCCTTTTCACTTCAGCACCACTTGCTCCCAGTGCACCCATTAGCTGCCAACCATCCCCACCACCACCCGAGCCCGCGTGCGCCATGCGGCCAGGAAATCGCCCAGCAGATCTGTTGCATTTTCCACGCGCGTTTCCTCTGTCTCCCTCCTCTGTCCACACCCCTAAACTCCAGCCACTCTGCAGGACTGGGGCTCACTTCCCCTGCACCCCCACCCCTATCCAGCCCCCCAAATCCTTCCAATGAGTATCACTGGGGCTCACTTCCCCTGCACCCCACCCCCATCCTTCCAATGAGTATCACTGGGGCTCACTTCCCCTGCACCCCACCCCCATACAGCCCCCCAAATCCATCCAATGAGTATCACTGGGGCTCACTTCCCCTGCACCCCAACCCCCATACAGCCCCTCAAATCCTTCCAATGAGTATCACTGGGGCTCACTTCCCCTGCACCCCACCCCCATACATCCCCTCCAAAATCCAGCCACCGAGCATCTTTAGGCCTCATTTCTTCTCACCCACAAAAACCCACAAATCCATCCACCGAGCGTCTTTGGGTTTAATTTCCCCTGCTCCCCCAAACACCCCTAAATCCATCCACTGAGAGTCTTCGGGTTTAATTTCCCCTGCCCCCCCAAATGCCCCCAAATCCATCCACTGAGCGTCTTCGGGTTTAATTTCCCCTGCCCCCCCAAATGCCCCCAAATCCATCCACTGAGCATCTTTGGGTCTCATTTCCCGTGCCCCCCAAAACACCCCCAAATCCATCCACCAAGCGTCATTAGGCCTCATTACCCCTGCCCCCCAAACACCCCCAAATCCATCCACTGAGCGTCTTTGGGTTTAATTTCCCCTGCCCCCCCAAATGCCCCCAAATCCATCCACCGAGTGTCTTTGGGGTTCATTCCCCCTGCCCCCCCAAACACCCCCAAATCCATCCACCAGCCTCTTCGGGGCTCATTTCCCCTGTCCCCCAAATCCATCCACTTGCGTCTTCTGGCCTCATTTCCTCCCCCCCCCCCATATACCCCCCAAATCCATCCATGGAGTGTCTTTGGGGCTCATTTCCCTTGCCCCCCACCACCCTGAATCCATGCACGAGCCTATTTCAGTCTGCCCCCCCAGCTCCTGCCCCCCAAGGAGGGGTCTCCACGCGTGGGCAGAGGCTGGCACGACCCCCGGCTCTTTGGGGGTCCCAGGCAGGCCCCCCCCCGCAGCCGGGGGGTGCAGAAGCCGAGGCCGCGCGGGGGGGGCGCCTTACCGTGCGGATGCAGAGCGGGGTGGGGGGGTCTCTGGTCCAGCGCCGGCCCCGGGAGCGGTCGAGGGGGCGCGGGGGGCTCCGGGGCGCGTGGCGAGCTCGGCGGGGCGCAGGGCGCGGGCGCCCCGGTCCATGCCCCGCTGCAGAGCGGCGTCGGGGC